AGCAGTTATGTCTTCCTCCGCAACTCTCACTCTGCCAGTAACGGCGGTCACTTCCTCCTGCAAAATCGCCATGTCTGAGTGGAATAGGGTGCGCAGGTTCTGTAGTATATTAGGATGTCACCTTTGGTGGCCGGAGCTCTCAGGTCGCCCATTGCTAGGCTCGAGACGGGGTCTGTAGCCTCTGGTATGGGATCAGGAGCATCCAGTGTTTCCTCCTCCGAGGATGAGCTTTGGGGATCTGGGGTCGCCGCCATTTTAGGTTTAGGCCTCGCCAGGAAAAGATCACCTATTTTCCGGGATCCGTCCTCAGGGTGAGTTTTTAACTTTTTATTTCTTTTCCCCATGGTGTCGTTGAGCGTGGGGGCTGAAAAGTAGTCGGATTGTCTTCGTGTGGATCGATTGATCTGCATTTATCTCCGTTATTGCTCGGGCATAAACCCTTCCACCGAGCACCAACCGATGACAGGGCACTAAGCAGCATTAAACCCTGCTTCGCTCTCCTGGACAGCCTTTAACCAAAATACTCCACGTCTAGACAGAACTAAGACTAGCCCATCTCACGTAGGAGAAGAATCACCACCTTCCCTATCCAGATTATGCACAGCAGTTAAGATGGTTAGGTGTCCCACTCCTTTGTTATTCTGGTGTACAGTATTATTCTACATGAGCCTAGAGAGAGACATCTCCCCTCCAACCCCCCATTTATTTTTTATTTTTTATTTTTTTTTCATTATTTTTCTTCAATCGGTGACCTACGACTAACACAGCCTACTTTTACTCATAAAATGTGCACTGTACTCACTTATATGTCCACATAAATGTAATACTATATTTGATGCCCAGTTTGTACCAGCTGTTGGGGCAGTACAAGCTCACTTGTTTATTTGAATGCACGAAAAAATAAAGAATTTTTTAAAAAAAAATAAGGGGCGTTCCTCGTCCTTGACCATCATGAGATTGGTCCGAAGATTGACTTGGCTGTCTGCCTCATTTAAATTTTACCTCTGCTGTGAACATATTTCAGGTATAGATAACAAACTGGCTGACGCATTATCACACTCTCATTTTCAGGTTTTCTTTCAGCTGCACCCCACAGCTCTGGTGATGGATTAGACAACCTTCTGTATCACACACATTCTGTACATTGTGTTAGCAGGATTGCTAGCAAAATATATATATTGAAAGAAAAATTTATTTAATAAGGGGTATTTCTCTCATCTGTCAATCAAATAACTGAGTTACAGGTAGAGCAAGAGCAAAGATGCATTTTGATGGTAGTCACCATCATTGGGGATGGAAGACAGACACTATGTGTGGGTCCGCAGATTCCTTTTGTGTTTTGGTCACCCTGCGCCCAGTATTTGTGCAGGGTATGTTGAATGTATTGCTTGTATGTGCCTTTCCCCCCCTCCCCCTTTTCCTGTCCTATTGTTTCCCAAGCAGGGCGTTGTCCCAGGGACACTGCCAGACCAGTTTAAAATAGCTGCCCTATCCCTCCTCCATCTCCCATCAATCTTTGCTATTGTCTGACCCCACCCTTCCTTGTACTATAGTGACTTATGCACCCTATTGTATGTAAATGAGGCTGTTGGGGATTAACTATGTGTGCAATGTCTATTAAAGTTAGTTATTGTTTTAACCTTCACCAAGTGTCATCTGGTGTTTGGTCCAGGTTGGAAAAGGCCCTCAGTGATCCCAGTCAAGCCTCAGTGACTGGATATGAAGTGCTCCAGGGTCCCTGATACCTACAAGGAAGCAGACTTGGCGGAGGTGCCCGGCCCTGGTACAGGGAGCTCCGCGACTTGCATTCCCCACCCCCATCCCACGCAAGAAAAAAATCTGTGTTTCTATTCACCCCACTTTTGAATTTTTTTACAACATTTTGATTTTCTTACCCACCCCTTCTGTGTTTCTTTCTCCCCCAAGCCTCTTTGGTGTGTCCCAGCCACTTTGGTGCTCCCTTCCAGCCCCTCTGTGTTTCTCTTTATCCAAAGATCCTCTGTGTCTCTTGATTTTGCCCTAGCACCTATGTGTGTCTCTTTCCCCAAACCTTTCTGTGTCTCATTTTCCTCTTTCTCTGCACCTCCTTGTGTTCCTTTTTCCCAGTCCATCTGTGTGTGTTTCTTTCTCTTCCACAGCACCTGTTGAGTCTTCCCGCCATCCATTTGTCTCCTTCCCCCATCCTCTCCATGTTTTTCCTTCCCCACAGCACCTCCACATTTCTCATTTCTCCACAGCCCCTCCATGTGTCTCATTCCCCCCCAGGCTCATCCATGTGTCTCATCCCCCACAGCCCAACCATGTGTATCATTCCCCCACCATTCCAGTCACGTGTGTTATTCCCCCCAGCCCCTCCATGTGTCTCATTCCTCCCATCCCATTCATGTGTCTCATTCCCCCACAGCCGAGCCTTATGTTTCAATCCCCCTCCAGCCCATCCATGTGTCTTACAAAATTAAACGGAGTGGAAGCCTAATATAGAATAGATCTATGGGGCAGTGAAGGGGTTAACCCTGATTAGGATTATGAAAGAAAGAGGAGAGAGACACTGTCCTAAGTGAGAATAATTAAAACATAACTTTTACTTTCATGAAAATACAATAGTTGATATATAAAGATTACTCTCAAAAAACATAAATATAAAATAGAGGAATTGAGGAGAGATAATACGTGGAATTAAAAAAGTATTAAACTGGGGGCGGGGCCTGACCGCCAAGCTGGATGGACGTGGAGCACCTCGGCTCCCTAATGAATCCATAATAAACAGCTTAAAACTACCCCTTCTCGGCTTGAAAAACCCTTGAAAAACCACGCGCTGACAGCAGCCTGAATACAAGTGGCGTACTCCCTCTGCCCACCGGATAACTTCACAGGGTGTATAATCCTCATGCAAGCTCGGCTCACTATAATGAGAATACTCACACCATTCGAGGCTTTACCTCCCACTGACACCAGCAGCTCTGTGGGGATTCGATCAGGACTCTGACTCTGCCTACATGGGGCATTGGCTCTATTCCTATCCTGATTCCAGGTACCAGCAGGCACACCAAACCGGGCCCAGTCCGGGCTGACAAGTCCCCAAGCATTTAAACAATCAGCGGGAATCACAAGGAGCTTGAACTCGGCAAGGACACCGGCCGACTCAGCACAGATGCAGTAATGATCAAGCGGCTGCTAATCATACATGCCTAATGTTATACCAGATTACTGTGTACCCTTTATTTTAACACCTTACTTTTAATATCAATATATACTTATTATAGTTGACCCCCCTCCTGCAACTCCCCACAGAGAGCAATTAAAATGCCTGAGCCTACAAGTATACCCAACCCGGTAAGCCCAGCGTCCTACTATGCCCTGGTGGTAAAATTTATTAAGTGTATGGAAATCTGTAATTGATGTAACTATACATAGCCTGTAAACCAACAACCACATAATCATACAACCAAGCATATATAGACTAGCTACAAAAGTTCTACCCACTTGTACCAAGCCTGTTATATCTTGTAAAATTTAAATGTGCTGTTTACTATGC